TCAGCTGTGAGTTCTGTGAATGGTGAGTCGCATATTTCCTTTTTCTTTTCTTTTTATATTCATTATGTATTATTTCCAGTTCAGAAATTTTACCACTTTCTTCCAGAATATACACTCGTAATTTATTTATTTGCAATGAATAACCCAATTTACTGATTTTCAGAAGTTACAAAATTTCTAATTTCTTAATTTTTACTAATTTTCAGAAGTTACAAGTATTCCTTTAGCTAGAAAAATTACAAAACGAAAATATATAATTGATGCGAGAGATTTGCTTAATGAACATTCTGTGGTAACCCATAGGTAACTGTGTCAAACAATTGTCACTGCTAATTATTATTCCACAATAGCCCATCGATCTATTCCAATTTATAATAAAGCTTCTACAGTTTCCACCAACTATTTCGAATTTTAGTTCAATTAGAAAATCAGGAACTATACCAATCCTCGACGTCCTTTGTCGAATACATATTCAGTAAGAAATTATGGAATATCCAAGTAAATCAATAGGATTCTTGACGTAATGACGAATCTTGTTAGTGGTGAATCTTAGGCAATTCGCGTCATTTCTTAAAAATTCTCCTTTTCCAAAATTAAACTAGCAAGTAAGCGAAGTTCTAAGTTAAGAACCGTGTGTGTGAGTTTTAATTTTAAGGATTGTAGTTGATAAGGTAAAATAAATTAGCCTAAGAAAATAAAAAATAATTCTATTCATCCGCCGATGGACGTCGTGGGATGCGTGCGTTTTACTTTTAAGTAGTCCATAAAATAAAATAAGTAACTATAAGATAGAAAAATTGTATCGAGTACAATGTGCGCGCTCTCTTACAGTGATACGCGTTTCTCATTCGTAGCTAATTACTAAAAATGCTTTCTACATTTTGCTATCGTCGATTCGAAACATAGAACATTAAATTCTCGATCACTCAGTTCCTGCGAGTTTATTCGCGACTTAATCACTCGCGAGTAGCGCGCGATACTCGCGAGTAAATTCGTCGTGTATGCTCGCTGGTTCTTTAGAATGATAGCGAATTTCTCGTTGCGCTCTGAATTCAATCTGACCGCGATTTATAATTTTTTGAAACCCTATCAAAGGAGAGCATTGAATTTTTCCAATCTTTAAATTAACTATGACAAAATGATTAGGGTTGCAATTTCAAATAAATATAAGACACTCCTTAAAAATTTATGTTAAGAACACGAATTTTTGATAAAGTGTCTTATCTCCTTTGCTACGAATGAGAATCGCGCATCTCTGAAGATAGAGAGCTGCCAGTAGGGCCCTTGTTTTTGTCGGGTCCCTTGCGTAGTCACCTCCTCGTGGTGGGACCTGGTAATTGGTATCCTTTTCCAAAGAAAATTCTCACTTTTGCAAAAGGATACCAAGCTAAGAACTACGCGTACCTGTGGACACTCTGATTCTCACACACAGTTGAAAGTTTTAACTTTAAGTAGTTTGTAAGATAAAGTAAGTTAATTCTAAGATAGAAAATTGAACACTATATGCGCGTTTCTTAATAAAATACTTTGAAAAGTTATTCAGATTCTATGGTAGATATGAAAGTTCCATTTAACATCAAATTTTAACATCGATCTGTCAATAGCAAATTAGCAATCAATTGCCTACGAAACACAAAGAAGAATTTCTTCAATTTTCTGACATAAAATTTCACAAGAAGTGCAGTAAAGGAAGATTAAATAAGAAATGCAATTCTGTGACAAATTTTTCCCAAACAGTGTTTTTAATATGTTACACAATAAAAAGTTACATTACGTGGTAAGATACTGTATCTCATCTTATATATTTTACTTTTCAAACATTTGTATCAGACTTTTCTGCGATTTTTCAATTGCATTATGCATTATTGCAATAATTTCTATCGTTACATTTAATTGCTATCTGTTGCTATCGACCCTACATTTTACTGAAACTTGTGGAATCGACCCTACATTTTACTGACACTTGTGGAATCGACCCTACATTTTACTGACACTTGTCAAATCGACCCTACATTTTCTTTTTTTACGTGGAGGTTGGCCGACTCTATGTGATAAACAATTGGGAGGCCGACCCCACATTTTACTGACACTTGTGGAATCGATCCTACATTTTTTTTTTTATGTGGAGCGTCACACTGGTAGCGTTACACGCTTGACTGACTGCGAGCGAAATAACATGGGCGCAGCAATGACGCAGACGTAGGCGTAGGACCATCTATCCTGTCACTTGTAGAATCCAAACTTACCGACTCTTGTAGAGAATTTACTGTATTTCCAAATTTTTTGCACACGTTATCGAGTGTAGTGATCCTTCTAACATTTCAAAGAAACTGAAGTCGGAAAAAGTACCAATATTCCAAAGACTGTCCGAATATTAATGCAAGTCACTGTACATAGAAATTATCGGTTAAACGGGAGAATCTTGTGGGATTTCCATGAAATTATCGAGGAATACTGGTGAGCAACGAAACGTCACGAGAGCGAAAAGATATTACCCGGTTGGAATACCCACGGGGTTTGAAGAAACTCCTCAGAAGAGTTTCACAGAACGATATTTCTTCGGTTGGTTGGATCGCTAAGCGCGCGATATACATTTCTACGCGCAGGTGAAGAAAGAGAGGAGAGCATTAAAGAAAAGGAATCAAAGGGGGGAGAGGGAGACGAGGGTATTATAAAGCACCGCGAACGGAATCTCATAAAATGGAAAATAGAAGCTGATGATTGGCGCTCGAGTAATGCTCGGTACAATGGTTCGAACTAAGGGGAAGAATCAGTCTAATGCGATTACGAGCCAGGCATAAACGCTAATGTATGGCGAAACGATGAAACATGGAAATGGGTATTTACGTTGCAACCGGTTTTCTATTATACGCTCTAGATCTACGGCGTATTATTGTTTTATGTGGAACCTTTCTTAAAAATGGATCTTTTATATTCTCGTCGTTTCCTCAATTTTTTATTTATTTTTTTTTAGGTATGTGTGCTGCTTAATGCGATTGCTGGAACATGTTCATAGTTAGTTTCTGGCTTTATGTTTCAATTTTTTAATCTCTTGTGCATAATTCAAAAATTGTAAATTGATGGAAGGATCCAAAATTGAGATTTCATTCGTCTGTTTATGAATTTGTAAGGTACAATTGCAACAGATTTTTTTAATTTCTTTTGAATGTGTAGCTCGATGTAATCATTGGATCATGTGCACAAATATTTTCCCGCTTCACAATTCGATTTTTCTTAAGGTTCGAGCTTTATGAAATCGATGAAAAGATCGAAAATCGAGATTCTGAGTCTGTTTATGATTTTGTATCCCATAATTGCAATTTCCTGGCCACAGAGTATATTAAATTAAAATGTAACTTAGAATTAAGCGTCCTACTTAATATCAACACTTACAATAATTTCGCGTTTCAACAATAACGCACGAAGCAGAAAAATTTGTCCAGAGAAGCTAAAAAATGATTGAATAGAAATCAAAGTATAACAACTGAATCGAAACTTCAACAAGACACTTGGTCAAACGAAAAATCGCCTCGAAGCGAAACTCCCTCTCGAAAATTCGCGAGTAGATCGCAGTTCGTTAGACAACCGTCGTGCAAGACGAATTAATAAATATCCGAGGCACGAGGAGCGACGGTTTCCACGCGGTATCAATAAGTTCCTGACAAAGCATTCAGCGAATCGCGAGTAATACCGCAAAGCCGAGTCGAACGTGACAGAGGGAGGGCACGGGAGGCTAGGAGAAAAGAAAACTACTGTCCGCATAGAAACGTGGCCGTGGTACGTGGCGAATCTCGAATAAGGGAGAAAGAAGAAAGCAGCGGAGGGAGGATTTGTAGATCCGTCTACGAAAAGGAAATACAAGTCTAACCTCTCTCGACCGGCCAACAAGTCTGACCAAGGCTAGCAACCGTCACTGCCACTATTGATTCCCCCTTATTCGTTTTCTCCTTCGCCAGAAGAATTGAATCTTCGATTCTCGCGATCCTATCTTTTTTTTTCACGCCCTCCTCTCGCATCTTTCTCCCCGTTGCTTCTTCTCTCGCGGCTCTTCGTAATTCTGAACCATGCAGAGCTGCGGAATAATCCACTGCGAAGATGTTTCTTTGCGAGAGAGTCGATTATGAAAATTAACCCTTTCGTTACTATTGGCGCTATGCCGCTGCAGCCTTTTAGAGCACCTTTATCTTTAATACTTAATTTTATGCTTTACGCACTTGCAATTTTAATCGATAAACCGAATTTTACAGCGATACGGCCAAAATACCAAATTTTGCGGCCGTGGTTAAAAATTGACCGCCAATGACCCACGTTATGCACTAAAATCTGCCGCAACGAAAGGGTTGAAGGGCTGAAAGATTGGAAAAAATATAAAGAGAAGACAGACGATAATTTAGCACAGGCAGAATCATTTCTCCATCGAATTTACGTGCACTATTATGAATTACCGAAGTAACAGTGAATTTAAAACCAACATTGCCCTTTTTCGTTGAGCCTAACTAGGAGTCTTTGAGTTAAGCGCTCATACACTAATTTGTTGACAGACTTTTCGCCGAATATTTCTTTTTCACAACAGAACAACGCTTCTTCCTACACATCCGTCTCTCCACCAAAAATCTACCATTCCTCTCGGAATTCAGCGTGGAAAGAGCTTCCGACGCGGCAGAAACAATCCTCTCGCGGCGCCGCGCAAAGCGGCGAAACAATCGTTGCGTGATATTATGTAATACACGAGCGCTGACCAACGTGCACGCTATATAATCGAGACAGGCTTCGACGGACGTAAACAAGATGCTTACACGGTTAGAACAGTTTCCTTTCGAGGCTCGAAGAGGAACTGAAGTTTCTCTCCGGTTCTTAGAGAGAGAAAAGAGGAAAAAATTGAGGAGAATTGGCCGGTTTTTCCGTAACTAGCTGTAGGAAACAAGTGAAACGAGAGACATGGCACCGGTGCTTGTTAATCGACACGGAAAAGGGGTGAATCGTGGTATATCTATACTCACAAGTGGTCCTGCCGCTTGAACGCCTTGCCGCACATCGTGCACACGTATTTCCTCTCGTCGCTGTGCGTCAGCTTGTGCTTCGTGAGCGCCGATGCGTTGTTGAACACCTTCCCGCAGACCTGCAGACAGAAACCGTGCAACATGTCAGCGCGTCTTTGTGCTGATTGCCTTCGACCCTGACAGCCGGCTTAATTGGCTACTTACGGTTTCGAGGTTAAAGATTCGAGCGTTTTTTCTTCTTTTTTTTTCGGTACAAAACTGGTGTAGAGACATGTGCCTTTCAGAAATTTATTTTCAGCAAACTTTCGTGCGGCGAAAGCACGAAATTTGGGTGGAAAGTGTGATGTTAGGTGGAGAAATGAATTCTTTCCGAATGGATTCAAAGCCACCGAGTTTCTATTCGCGAGAGAAATGGCAAAGTGTTATCAACTGTAGTGGAAATTATTTGGATGATTGATCGATTTTCATTCCTTTTAAATGAAACTTTGATTGTACCCAAAAATCGAAAAAAATTCATTTTCAGGCCTCGTATAGAGCGTTGTTCGATTCAACTGACATGTTTCATATTGTGGGAAAGTATGAGTTTTGACAGAAGTTTAAAGCGGAGCTAAAACATCGCGTTATAATATCTAAAAGAAGAAGAAGAGTCAATAGCGTTATATTTTTGTCACATTAACTGTCTTTCGGATTCAAGAATACTTCTTTTCGAAAATTACTGATTTATTACTGAAAACTGCAGTCTACCATCGTTAACACACGGAACAGTACAACTATATCATTCCCCAAACTTTTTTCACTGCAATTTTGTTCGAATGATGCGCCTGTAATTATTCGAAAAAATCGGCATGTAGTTGGAGGAAAATTTTTAATTAAATTCTCGTGTGATTTACGTTGGCTGAAGCCTTGATTAATTTAACGAAATGATTG